TATAATATTATATGTTTAATATATTATATGTTTAATATATTATTAGTTTAATATATTATATTTTACTTTTATTCCTTAATGTATTCATTTATGCTAAAAGACACAGGTTTATTATGAGATATAGAGAACTGCAAAAAGATTGATATCTAGAACATTTATGAATAAACTCAGAAACAATAGTGCAATACATATTGAATATAGCAATATATATTTAAAACAATTTAAAATTTTTAAAATCTTTAAATAAAAGCAATACAATAATTGGAAAACGATAATGTTTTAATTGTTGTGCAGAACACTAGAATATTGTCAGCATTTACTTTTTCTATTGTATAAATGAATATTGCTCCTTTATTTTAAATATATCTTCCAAATTTAAATTAAATCGTAAAATGACGCTTGCAGTTCTTTTTATCGTTATATTATTTGTAATAACTCTATCCTTTTCTTCTTTCAAGCCTGTTTCTGAGAATGGTGTCTGTCAGTGTGCAACTTCGATACGATGAAATTAATTCCTCTAATTTTTTTCTCTGAAGTAGACACTTCCATATCGGATGATTTTGGTCTTGGGATGATTTTGGTGTTTGATAGAATTTTGTGCACTTGCTCGGGAACGAATTCTTGAGTTCGAACGAATATTCTTTTTCAAATTCTGTTAACCATTCTATTCCTGCTTCACATTTCTTGCGCCAATTTATTGGATATTTTAGTCCTTTAAGTTCGGTCATCATACAAGCCATGAATGGAAGCCTTTTTTTCGTGCAAGTTTGACATCTGCAGTGCGGTAGAGAAACCGATTTTAGAAGTTCCAGCAACGTTAATCCTTCTTTGATTGACAAAATATTCTTTCTATCTCCATTATATTCATATAATTCATTCTTATGATGAACATCATACCAATTTATCTCTTTGATTAGATCCGTTGGATTAATATGATAAACAATAGCAATGACTAACTCTTTCTGTCCTTCTAGAAAAACTTTCATTGCTTCTTCGAATTTCATTGCCAAGATGAGATATTCTTTTTTGCCATCTGAAAGTTTTAGTTCGGCAGAGTTATGACTACATCTGAAGTACATATCTTCAGCCGAATTTGGTTTCTTCACAACATTTATCATTTCTATCGTAAGCCATTTGATTATATCCATTTCTTTCTTCTCAAAGATGTCCATTTTATATGATAACTTAGAGAAAAAGAAATTAAAATAATTATTAGAAGTATATATTACATTGGTACGGCAAAGGAATGTGATATTATAAAATAAAAAATGCAGGCCTTTGTGATTTTAATTTTGTGATATGATATGAGATGGTTGTCTGTGATTATATATACAGAAGTGTTTCGCATTGAGTTATTTGAGTTGAGATTATCTTATAAGCATGCTGAATAATAACTAAAATTATACAGAATCTCACAGCATGTTTCAATATTTATTCAATATAGATGATCTTTAAATGTAGTTTTTAAATACGTGATAAGAATAATTAATAAGAAAAAAAATTTGTAAGATTAAGACTTACGAGACTTTCTGATTGATGCAAAGCTCTCCGTAGGAAAATAAAATATATGAAGCAAACAGGTAGAACAGAATGTGGTGGAATAACCCTAGCTTCTAACAGTATAGTAATTAGAGTTGCCTTTTCCCATATGTACAGTGACGCGACAGAGAAGATAAAAGTGTTATTCATTAGCTTGGTATTTTCTAAATAAATTTTATCTTTAATCTTTTTTTATTTTTTAAAATTTTAAATTATCTTCTTAAAAGAATTACGACAATTCTTTTAAGAAGATAAAACCTTTTTAAAAACTCATTTTTTATAAAATATTTTTTAATTTGAAAGAATTTATAAAAAAAAAATGTTCATTATAATAAATTTCATTTTTATAATTAAAAAACAAATTTTTGAAATTTTTTTATTATTAAAAGATAACATTACATTGGTTTCTTTTACATTGATTTTTCTATCAAAAATAGAACTTTCTTTCATCTTAGACAGCATAAGTTTAAATTTCGTTACTAAAGAATAAAGAATAAAAATTATAATAAAAACATTTTGTATCTTATCTAAATACCCAAAAGTAGCCTTTTTCGATACAGAAATAGAATTAATAATTATCAAAAAGTTGTATTTGTATATACAACGATGAACAATACCGTTAGAATAAAAATGGATCATCCTTGTATCATTATTGTATATACTGTAATACAACTCTTTGATAATATTTATTAATTCTGTTTTTACATCGACTTGATATTTTTTAATCATCCATGATCATCGCTGTAGGAACAAAACCAATGAACAAATTTATTTTTATATTAAATTAATATTGCACTATTATTAACATAATCTTTCAATATAACTATCAAAATACACCATATTTCTCTGATAACAATCACGAAATAAACGAAGTGAAAGAATCAATTGCGGAAAAATAACAATTTCGATGCTTTCGAATTCAATTTAATATATCTTTTTAAAAGTGGATGTTTTATGAACATTAATTATTTTATAAGATTTCAGTTTTAAAATATAAGATAACGAATATTTTAAGGAATTAGAAATAAATTATTACATATTCATCAAATTGATATAAATATAAAAGATTTATGCACACTTAAATATATAATGTAAATGGCAACATAAAAAGATATAAAAATAACTTATATATCTATCAATCTTTACATTTAATCTTACAAATATGAAATGATTACAAATATTAGTATCAATTTATGATATAAAAAGTGCAAGTAGCAAATCTGATTATATATACATATATATTTTCATTATCAATTCATAATAATCTCCATTTGTACAAAAATAATATATAATCTTTGTACAAATTAAGATTATTATGAATCAGCAATGAAAATATGTGTCATTAGAAACTGAATAATAAAAAAATTTTAATGTAAAGTTAGTCAACTTGTGTGTAAAATGTAAAGTTTAATTATTTACTACCAGCACATTCTAATGAACAGAAATAACATTCGAGTTTAAAATCTATGTATGACGACATTCTTAATTCAACACACGACAATGGCAGCTGTATAAACTTTCTTACATAGTGATCAAAGCAGGCGTTTTTGCACATATGACAGTATTTCGCTTCATCCAGATATTCCACTAATGTATATGGTATTATACTTGCATCATATGTTATGTTTCTAGAAAAAATATAAAATTATTTTGATTTATATATCTCGAGTATTAAATTATATATACAATATAAAAAAAAATAACAAGAACCTAAATTTCAGGATACATTTAGCTGACCATTCGACAAGACTTGGAACTCTCTTGCTTCCTTCATCTTTAAGACCACGAATATAAGTTTCAGTATTACAATTTTGTAATTTATTCTCTGTAATATTTAAAAGCCGCAATTTTAGATACGTGATGCTTCCTGGTAAATATGACAAATTATTTTTTCCCAAGTCCAAAGATTTCAGATTTCGCAGAATTCCGATATTATGTGGTAGATGTGTCAACATATTTTCACGAGCCTTAAGTTCCATTAAAGCATTCAAATTTTTTATTTGTATTGGCAATTCAGTCAGCTACAAATAATAACAAATTATTAAAAAATAATTTAGCAGTCCAAATTGAAATTTTCTTATAAACAATAGAATCTTTAACAATTTTAAATTTAACTTTGATGAGAGAGATAGCTAGACATTAACTTACTGAATTACCACTTAAATCTAGGAAACGCAAACTGTTCTGAATAGGAGTTTGCTCCAACCATGTCCATTTAGATCGAGATGATTTTCCAAAGTTATTCCGTGCCAATAGAAGATTTTGAAGATTAGGCAGTGTGCCCAGTTCTTTTGGCAAAAAGGGAATCTTATTGTCAGACAAATCTAGATGTTTTAAACTTTGCAGATATAAAATTTGTCGGTCAAAGGACTTTCTGTCTAATCCACTCAAAATGAGTTGTTCTGTCGTTTTTGGGAAACCCTGAAAAACAGGATACTCAGATTTTTTCTTTATCTCAAACTTTGTTTTTCCCAAAGAAAATTGAGTCAAATTGAAAGTCTCCGTAGACATGAAAGTATGTGCTTCTATATGTTGAGTATGTCCATTTGCTATAAGATGCAATATATGAAGGAAACTTTTTAACTGAATCGGATCACTCTGAATAATCAAATCATGACAGGGTTGCTGCAATCTTATTGTAGCTTTGCCATTGGTGATAAATTTTGTGAATACACACCGTATGTTGTTAACAATCTAGAAAAAGAAAAAAAATGACTAAATATACTTTTTAAGAATAAAAAGATCCATTTAAATTTCTCCAAAAGCATATGGAATTATGAAAAAGGTACTAAAGAGCTGTGTATATTTATAAATATAAATTTATTTTGTATAAAGCTAAAAAAAATAAATAATAAACATTTTTTTCGAATGTAAATCTTAGAACTTGATAAAAATGTATTCATCTATCCCATTTAATGTAAAAATAAAAATTATTTAGCATCAAGGAAATAATATTTAAATTAACTGTTGTAAGTCAATGCTTATTTTTTGCGTTAAATGGAATTGACAGAATGTATTTGTCAAATTTTTACAAGTTGCAGGTTACCTGGTACTTGATGCCTTGTTTGTTCTGTCGCATTTGCAAATACAAGCACACATCTTTGTCTGATCTCTTTGCAAACGCCAAGATTGAACGTTGGGATTTTCTCTGTGACGATAACGATCGGTCATAGATCTCAACGTTGCAGTGCAATTTCATGATCGTTTATTGTTTCGTACAGACTTTGTAAGACTGGAAAATCATGAATTCAAAATGTGGACTACAATTGATCAAATTATTCATCTGATAAATATCATCTGAAAAATAACAAATATTATTCATTATTATACTTTTTTGCAGCGAGATTTGACAGCGTTATCATCAATTAAAAACTTTTCAAATAATTCGCAACTGTCTCTCTGATACTCACACACATGCTGATATGTGATATGATGTTGTTTACACAAAATGCACGTTATTCTATTTAGTACATGTATTTACAATCACGTATCGATTTCGACAAATTCATATCAGAGAGAAGTCTAAAACTCATATCTGATTACTTCCTCTATGATCTTTAAATTTCTGTGATTCGTGTTGAATTGATTAATATCACGATTACAAAAACACCTTCTTTTTCTGTAATTAGTCTTGGACTCGCAACAAATTCAAGGCAACTTCTTATAAATAAACAACAATACAAATTCGAAAGTCGAATAAACAAAGTCAGGAAAGATCGAAAATTGATGAAGCGAAGTCGGAAATGCGCAACACTGTAACACGGAAATTATTTAAAGACGATGGAGGATCCGAAAACAATTTGAAAAAGCTATCTAACCAAGAATTTAAGATCCAACATTCAGCCGTGTATCAGGCTGGTTGCACACAGGACGCGGCAAAGCGGCAATGCGATAGCCAATCAGCGTCTTGTTTTCTAATATGTAATGAAGGTATGTATCAGAAAACAAGACGGTGATTGGCTACCGCGTTGCCGCGTCCTGTATGCAACCAGCCTATGACTATGAATGTCGCCTACAATTATAGTTTCCGGTTGACGATTTTATTACAGCCAATCATAATGCAGTGGGTCGGTTGCAGTCAGTGTGATTGGTAATATTTAAACAGTCAGCTGGTAACCGTTTTTTCGGTCTATCTATACTATGTCTATGGACACGATTGTCTTCTCTCTGAAGAAACTCTGAAACTACTCGGTAGATAAAACAGCTACGCTCACGATTCTCTGGTTGTGCTAGATATGAATTTGCGATTTTATCTTATACTACGTCCATGAGGTATTGATAATACAAATCTTTAATATAGCAAATGTGTTGTATATGGCAATTAAATTTATAATGTACGCATGTCATGTTATTTATTTTTTTATTTTGAAACTTCAGTTGCGTAAAAATGTTTTTTATAATGTTCTCTCAATAATTATAATAATCCGAAAAAGTTATTCTTTGATTATATTCAAACAATCGGCTTTAAATTAATCCATGATATTCATTAATATTAAATATTAAGTAACATAAATTATATAAATATTATATTATTATTATATACATATTGTTAAACAGAAAATTATTAATCTTGATATGATATCACTATTACTTGATATTTAATGGATAATGATTATGTTTCTTTATGTTTCTTTCTGAATACATAAATCGGTGTATACACATGGACATAGTGAAGAATAGAATAGAAGAATAGAAAAATTTTATTCTTGCAATTTATCTACTTAGAAATAAATATAAGATCATTACCCGCTAAACATCGAGTAACAGTAATCAAGTAATTGCAACGATATATTATATTATATGTATAAGATTAAGAATTTAGTTAAATATAATTTCTTCGGCGGATATTTATTTGTGACATTTTTACAAATTATACAAAAAATTAAAGTCGATATTAATTCAATGAATTTCAATGGTTTATTTCCTTATAGAAATTTAATATTGGAACATAGTGATTAATTATTTATTTTAAGTATTAAAAACTGTTGTTCAATACATTTAATACTCGAAATAAATAATATCTAGTAGTATTAAATTGAATTTCTGTAAAGATTATAAATTACTTCATAAAAATCAAAATAACTGTATCCGTACTCTTGTTTACTTCAAATTATGTCAGAATTCTAATTTTATTTAAATCTAATGGGTTAAGTTTGTTAAAATTATATAATCAAATTTATTATTAGTATATTAAAATATAACTCAACAATTGATTTTTTGACGATTTTTGAAAATATAAATAAAACTGTGCCTAATTATCTCTAGACTGGAATAGTTAATAATATACTTATTATTATATATATAAGGACATTTTAAACTCGTAATTCAATTTATTGTATTCGAAATATAATTCTGTTGATGTGTTATGTCATAGAGTCATAAGTAAAATTTTGAATTATTTAAATCTAAATCGACCTTTTCTCATTATATAGACGAAAAGATGATTCGATGATAGATAATTTCTAATATCATTTTTGAAATTAACATGCGAAGAATAATGAAAAAAATCCATCGTTATCATAATATGAGATGCGTAACGAACTGTTTCATCCTGTGAAGGAAGTAAGATGAGAATGAAGGATGGATTTTGAAGCACACCAAATCAAAGAATTCTTCCTTCGACGAAAGTTGTGGATCGATTGACGCATGAGCATTTTAGATAGCGTCGCGACGCCGCCAGCGTAGCGTCTCGCCTACGCATCCCCTTGTTGGTATAATTCACGAACCCTACAATTTTTTTTTTTCCTATGGGGTAGATCGAAAGGACCGTGTGGGAAGGTATGGAAGAGAAAGGGAAAGCGTAGCGAAAGGAAGGAAAAAAAATGGCAAAGAGGAAGGGAGCGTGAATTAGGGCGATAAGGGGATGAAAGGGCGAAGAGCAAAACTCAAGAAGAGAGAGAATAGCGGAATAATCAAAGAGGAGAAAGAGAAGATCGTAACAATAAAGCGACATGGGGTGGAATAGATAAAGGGCAGGGGATGATGAGAGAGAGAGAGAGAGAGAGAGAGAGAGAGAGAGAGAGAGAGAGAGAGAGAGAGAGAGAAGGGGGGGGGGTGAGCGTCTCGTTCGTCGAGGGGTGTCGCGGGCAAGGGGCAACAGATGTCCTTCCGCATGACGCACGCGGGGTGGTCGTCCCTCGCGGAGTGGTAGTCTCGCGTCTGGTAGTGTCTGCGTGCGTCACGTTGCGGAGACGGAGTGTGCGGCTGCGTCCTCGCGAAGGATCGAGCGGGCAAAGGACCTCGTTAGACAGCCGTCTTGGACAGGTAAGCCCAATCCTCGATGGAACACGCGCGTCCGCCTCGTTAGCCCATAATCCGCCCTTGCGGTGCCGATATATCCCAACTTCGAGACTGAACGTCGTATACGAAAAGCGAATTGAGTGTCTGTGGCCTTTTCAAGAGTACGTCGAATCTCTTCCCACGCCGCGAACGGTGCGATCGAGAAGGTATCAAGCGGTACTCTTACCCCGCGTATATTTAGCATGTGGCTCGATTTACTCATCCGACGATTGGTCGTTACATAAGCAGTTTCGATTTCCAAACCGAAGATGTATGTTTCGTGGAAATTAACGAATAACGATTGATTGTCAATGGTACTTGCGTGTGCAAAATAGCAATAATGAGACTTCGACAGCAAGATAATTTCGAACTTATGTAATTATATAAATATAAGGGTATAAATTCCAAGATTTTAGATTTTAAAGTGTCATCGTTATTAAAATAGATCAAATGTATTTTAGTACTAATGATGGCGCCTTAAAGTTTAATATATTTCAGTATAATAACGATGACATTTTAAGAAGCTAGAAGCGATTATTTATTTATCGCTTTCTATTTAAAATTAATATTTTTTTCTGGCATCGAAGATAAGATTAAAAAATTCTCTGAATTTAATGTTCCATCAGAATAAAAAAGGTAATTAAAAAATTCAAATTGTGTCTTTAATACGTGAAAAAAGATTAATTTTAAAAGATCAAGATCTTTATCAAGAGAAATAGAAATAAGAGTGACCGCTTGGCAGTTCCAATATTATAAAATCTAAAAAGTCCGTACTCTGCCGCTTTTTGCGAATTCTTCCATCGATCCATAACGATTATCGGCGATTTTCTTTCAGCTGCTCGTCCGAGAAATGTACGTGTGAAATGACGCTGAACGCGCGCCGCGCGACTTTCTCTCGGCGAAGAGCATCCTCCGGTTAGCGCGCGATGTGCGAGGTGTCGAAGGGCCAGCGCAGGACGTTCCGCGACCAGGATCCGCCGCGAATATGCAACAAGAGCGCGGAGAACCTTCTGCGGGACGAGCTCGAATTTTCGCGTTCGACCCCGAGCTCACCGACGACCCTCCAGCGCGCCGCCAGCCTCGAGAAGTGCTTCAGCGAGCCCGAGTTCTTCCAGAAGCAGCGCGAGCTGCTCTCGAAGCACGAGCAACGGACGAAGGAGAAGGACGGCGACGTCGAGGAAAGCGTCGCTCCCGTTTCCACACGTGGCGTCGACGACGACCCCGGAAGTACGGCCGACGCCGCGAGGAGCACTGAGGATCTTCCGAGAGAACCCTCCGACAAAGTGCCTTCCCCTTGCGAACAGGCGAGCGAGGTATGTAAAGACAATCCAAATGCCAAATGAGAATCATCAGTCTAACGCCCGATTCCACCGGCGTAGATTAACTTTAATCTCGGTTCAACTTTCCCTTCATTTTTTCTAGTTCTATTAGAATTAGAATCGAGATTAAAGTAAATCTACGTTGGTGGAATCGGGGGCATTAGAAGCCAAATTGATCGATTCCGCGAAATAAAAATTGTGAAAATTGGTGAAATTATAAATTATTATACAATCGTGCGCTCTGGAATTTAAAGTAAAAAAAAATTTACACAATATTATGATGACGTTTAATCTAATAATGTAATGATGAAGTTATAAATCATGTTATATGCATAATATAAAATTAATGTAAAATTTAAAAAATGATGAAAAGCGGAGACGATTGATTTGCTTCAAAAAATATCTCGGCGTAAATTTTGAAAATTTTGAAGAGAACTAAAATTGATGAGAGACGTGATTATTTTACGATATTTTTGCGATATGTAAAATTTGAGACAAATTAAAGTTCTTTTGTATTATTAGAGAATTGAATCAGATTATGTTATATGTAGATGTTTATTCTTTTCTCTTTCTTTCTTTTTTATCTTTTTTAGTTAGGACGTCCTGTTTGAAAATATTAGGTCATTAGATTAAAAAATAATATGGAGCATCGATTTGCTCGTTTCTTCTTGACTTTCTTGATTTATTTATTAACATCGACGTGATGCTCCTGATAAAATAGCTAGAGTTAAGTTAAATATATCATACGTATATCCAAGGATACGCATCTAACGATATTTAAAGCATCCTACATTCTCGAAGGTAGTCTTTTTTCGATCAACAACAAATTGATCTAGCCACTTCTTTCTCGTAATTTCTCCGTCAGATTCGTAATTAACGAACTCTATGTTTCTACGATGTTTTTGCAATTTATGACGCATTTCTCGGGGCGTTGACATTCAATCATGCTTTTTACAACTCGCTTAACCCTTTTCCGTATATAAAGATAAATTAGCGTTATCGATAAAAAGTTAAAAGTAGTGATATATTCATTGGGAATCACTTTGTGTTGGACACGCGACAACAAAAATGGTGGATAAAATTCAAGCGATTGAGCGTGAGTCACGAGCGAGTCTTTCGCGCGCGATCAGAAAGGTCTCTTAAATTTCTCGCGTTAAATTTCCCGGAGAAGAAACGTGTTTTCGCGAAAAAAAAAAAAACTTCCTTCGCTCGATATTGCGCCGAAAAAACGTGTATCACGATCGGCTGCCGCTGCCGTTGCCACCGAATTGCCCCTCTGGTTCCGCTTGTAACGGTATTTCTCAGGTGACGTGGACAGGTGCACTATCGACCCGCGCGAGAATCACGCCCGAATTATCGGAAGAAGCGTCACACGCCTCGCCGAAGAAGCGGCGAAACTCGTTCGCGCGGAACGTTCGCCGGCCATCGCTTTTGTCGGTGAAATCTCGCGCCTCGATACATTTTTCTGAGGTTGACGTAACGATCGTGGTTTGTGCGTTGTTGCGTCGTTTCCCCCGAACGATTAGGAATTCCGCCTTTCCTCGGAGACGATCGTGCAAGAAATGCAGAAATTACGTACCGCCTTTCATTTGTATCCTGAAGAATTGAAGCTAAAATATTATACTGTTTTAACTTTTAATAAATTGAATTGAATAAATTGAATAGGATTTTAGGAATTAAATTAAACTTGCATGTAAAAATATTTAACGCTATAATGGTAAATAAAAGTTGGCTTCGAGAGAATTTTCGAAAAAAATGAATTTTGTATTATTTTGATTGTGCAAGACTTCACATTGCTCTTTTTATAATTTTACGTAATTGTATAATAATTTTATAATTATTTAATTACGTTAAAAAATGAATTAAAATTAATTAAAATTTTTATTAAAATATTTATTAATTAGTCTTTTTTTTAATTTATTTGCGAAACTATTTAAAAATTTCTGCTCGCGTATGGCGTTGTACTAATTAGTACTTGTGAAATTTTCTTTCACTAAATTCATGCTGTGGTAATGTATTTATTTTTTATTCATTATCAGTGATTATACAGATCTATACAGATAGTGGATAATGCGGCTCGTTCGATAAAGCCTGTGTAATAACTTGTTTTTTTATTTATGCCAATGGAGCACTGTACACGCGCGGCAATAAAGTTGCGTAAATAGATTCGAAACCGGCATTTATGTTACTTGATACGCATATGCCTGCTCTCCTTGAGAGGCTTAAGAAACTCGGTACCGTTTTATACAGCTCTTTTACTTTCTAGACTCTCATCATTTTTATCACATATATCCCATTCGTGAGCTCCGCATATCCTGTATGTAAACCGATTCGCCCAGTTTCAGCAAGTGATACGTCCTTCATGGGTGATCATAAATTTATAAACTTATGCTATTATCGAATTAGGTAGCAGGTTTTCGCTGAGGGTACCACGACTTGGGCAACATTGGTATCATTGGACAATTCGTGAAAAACTAAGCGTAAACAGATTTAATTTTAATCAGAGTTAGGAAAACACGAATTCTACGCAGCAGAATGTGCAATATTAACTGTAATGAAAAATACTGTGATATTTTTTTTTATATTCTAATAACCAATGTCATCATGTGTAATTATTTCGATGGCTCAAAATTATTTTTCACTTTTCTAGTCAAATTTTTAAATTCTTCAATAAAACTGTTCTTTCCATGTGATATATCATAATGTCATAATCATAAAATTAAATAAATTAACAACAGCTAAAACATTAGAGATCTCAAAATATATTTCATATAAAATATTATTTGATATAATATGTGTTATAGTATCACACCCGTTGTCAACACAAAATGAGAAAAATTTTAGGCAGAAATTCGAAATAAGTTCTTTTTTTCTCCTTAATTCCGTTTCGCAACTTAGAGAAAGACACATTACAAAATTTGTCGTGTGTATTTTTATATGCGTGCAATTTTACAAATTATGTAGAAATCACGGACGATTTTCCGCTCGTAAGTTCGTTGATGTGTTGAGAAACTTTTCCGTCGGGGTTTACTTTGAGGAAACGTCGGGTGAGAACGTGGCCGGTTGTGAACGGATGACAGATGCGCCGTTTCTAAAATTCTCAGAATTGTCGCGTTAGTGACGGCAGGCGAAGTGATTGTAAGACCTGCGGGGCTCTGAGATGAATTAGGTTCGGGCCTGAAAGTGGAGGACGCGGACCTCGCGGCAGATTTTTTTCCATCGGACGCCTGCCTTTGTGCTGAATTCGGATTAAGGAGCGCTCACAGAGACGCGAGTGGAGCGTCGCTTGACATTTTGCTTGTTATATAAACAAAACAATCTTAAAAATCCTTCAATAATTTCATAAATTTCTTAAATTGTATCTTTGGAAAGACTTATACACGATATCACGTGAAAACGATTGTGTATTGCGGATATCGTTTGGTAACTTAACGACTTATCACTCTCACGTATGTACGTAAGCACGTGTGATAAATCCAGTTCGGTGAGAACTAGTTCTTCGCGATGTTGTTTATTTACCATGCTTTTGTATCATGTTTTTGCGGTGTATATGCTTTTGGGAAGTAGTAGACGAGCAATGGAAAGATCAATTCCGCGAAAATGTGGCGCGGGCCATATCGCGATTTTTCGCAATTTTCTAACGAAAAGGAGACGCGTGTGAGAGACTCGTGCGTGTGAGGCAAATCGAGATTTAGCTGGAAATTTGCTCAAAATACACCGGTTACGTAGTGCAACGGGGGTCGACGACCGGCAACGAGACGGCGTTACGATATTGACGAGGAAGTCGCTATTTCGGGGCACAACGATTAATTGCGGAGGCGTGGAGAGACGGCACGGGGGGGGGGGGGCACGCAGCTGATAAATATTCAATCGATCCTTCACGAAATTATCATCGTGCCGAGATTGCTCGCTAATAATCCCGCCTAAGCCAGTCGAGTCAGCGGCCGACAAGATGAACCTCGGAACGAGAGCATTTGTTTCGAATTTACGAGCCATCTCTACCGCTCGCTTTACATAAATTGTAAATTAACGTCAATTTTCTTTAATTCGTTTCGTTTTTATACTCATCCGTTTTGAAACACGCTACAACGAGCCTCAATTATACATTTTTATTAAATAGATATAATAGATATATTATTAAGTGGATTTATAAAAATATGCAAAGAAATTTTAAGAGAGAAGAAACGTAAATATAAATCTTAAATTTCAATGTGGCTTTTAAAGCTATGTCTCATATCGTCCTGTGTATAGCACAACTTGTACGTGTTGCATAAAACAATGATCCCGAGCGCGTCACGCGTTCGCAAGGTTGCTCGGTCCAGATCGCTGACCAACCAGACGCACGCTGCATCTCCCCACGATGCATCTCCAGCGGTGATTTCCAGCGGTGATTTCCAGCGGTGATTTCCAGCGGTGTGAAGGCAGCCTATTGAGATCGGACGCGCGGCGTGGCATGATCTCGCGGCGGCGCGGCGTGGCGCACGTAGTCTCGTCAGTCCGATGTTTACGCTCGTGCTTTAAACATTTTTCGCCGCGTGCTCCGCTTCGGGAAACCGCGATCCATCCCGCGTCCCATCCTCTTTGTGTCTCTTTTTTTTTCCGTTCCTCGCGCCTCGAGGAGCGCAGCGGCGTGACTTCATCGCGGTCCGCGACGAGCGAGCGTCTCGCAGCCTCGACGACGACGCGTAAACACAACACCGGTCGGGCTCGTAAAATCGAGATTCGCCGTTTCCGATCGACGATTCTTTTACGAGTCGCGTCACGCTCCGCTGACGACCGCCGATTCCGAGATCGCTGCAATTAAGTCGCCCAGAAGAAGATCTGGATGGTCGACGTCGAGAGTAACAGTTGACGGAGGTAAAGAAAGATATTTACGCGTTTTGAAAGGAAAGGTGGAAGAGATTTCGAAATGTTGCGTTGTGCAATGTCGAGGGGATTTCGCAGATAGACAGATTTGATTTGAACGTCGATAGTAAATATTCCATCGATGACGA